CCTCTGGAGGGCCAACAACAGGGCAGAGAGGCTGAGGCCTTCCCCTGATGAGAACACCAGAAGAGCACTGCTGGGTCAGACCAGGGAGGGTCCCTCTAGTCCAGCCTCCCGCCTCACACAGGGGCCAGCCAGTCCCTCTGGAGGGCCAGCAACAGGGCAGAGAGGCCGAGGCCTTCCCCTGAGAAGGACACCAGAAGAGCCCTGCTGGGCCAGACCAGGGAGGGTCCCTCCAGTCCAGCCTCCCGCCTCACACAGGGGCCAGCCAGTCCCTCTGGAGGGCCAGCAACAGGGCAGAGAGGCCGAGGCCTTCCCCTGAGAAGGACACCAGAAGAGCCCTGCTGGGCCAGACCAGGGAGGGTCCCTCCAGTCCAGCCTCCCGCCTCACACAGGGCCAACCAGTTCCTCTGGAGGGTCAATGACAGGGCAGAGAGGCTGAGGCCTTCCCCAGATGTTGCCTCCTGGTACTGAGATTTAGAGGTTTAGTGCCTCTAAATGTGGAGGTTCCCTTCAGTCGCTATGGCTAGGAGCCATCGATAGACTTATCCTCCATGAATCCATCTAATCCCTTTAAAGCAGTTTATTCCAGTGGCCATCACTACATCCTCTGGCAGCAAATTCCTAATCACTCGTTGCGTAAAGAAGTATTTCCTTTTGTTCGTCCTGAATCTACTGCCCATCAGCTTCACTGGACACCCTTGAGTTTTAGTATTTTAGGAGGTTGGCCTATAAACCTCCATCATGTCCGCCTGCAGTTGTCTTTTTATATACTGAAAAGTCCCAGACCTTCAGCCTTTCCTCATAGGGAAGATGCTCCAACCCCTTAATCATCTTGGTTTTCCTCCTCTGTACCTTTTCCAGCTCCGTGATGTCGTTTTTGAGATACGGTGACTGGAACTGTACACAGTATTCCAAATGAGGCCGCACCCTCTATCTACACAGGGGCATTATAACATTGGCCATTTTCTTTTCCTTTTCATCCCCCTGGGGGGAGGTTTTTATTGGGTTGTTTTTTTCTTCAGACTACAAAACTACAACAGAAAATATAGGAAAGGGAACTACATCTAGGGAATAAAGAGAAAAGACCCACAACTAACTAAAAGCCCAAGAGTAGGAGATCATACATCAGCTTAACACCATGCTATTTTCAAAAAGCTACTAATAATACAATGAACTTAGTCGGTTATGCTAGATTAATTATCGTTTAACCATCCCTTTACCTGTTTAAAGAAATTCCCAGAGCATCCCCAAGTTATTTCAACATTTTTTCCGGCACAAATCAGAGTCCTTCAACCCTTATTTATTCTTATCTTTTCTAATCCTCAGTTTATAAGGGCTTTTGGGGGCAGCCGCCCCCTTTTCAGAGGGTGAGTCCTCGTCTGAAGACCCCGACTCGCCATCAGATTTGATTTCTTTTTCCTCCTCTTTGCCCTCTTCTGGTTCCTCAAGCTGTGTCTACAGAAATTCACATGCTTTAAAAAACAGAGTCAATCTTTTCTTTTGTATCGTTAATCTTGAAAATGACACCTTCTGGGGTTAACCACCTGTAACTGATGCCATTTGTTTGTAAGAAAAGGATTGTTATGCCAATAAAGGTTTATGCAAGAGAGGGAAGAAAAGGATTAATTCTTTATAGTTCTTTCTCTTCTGTCTTATATCAAATGGAATATCTTTTAAAATCCTGATATTATTGCCCCCAATTTTCAAGGGTGTTCCCAAATTTGCTTTCAAAATAGCATCTCTCACGTGTCTCTTCGAGAATCTGACCACTATTTCCCCAGGCAGATTATTTTTCTTGATGTACGATGAATAGGACCTGTAGACGACATCCATCTTGCTGCAAAGGTATTCCACTGTTAAATCTGTCATTGGGGCTATTGCTTCACTCAGCCGTTGCTTCAGATTCTCTCCTTCAATTTCCGGGACCCCTTGAAACCGTAGGACCAAATTTGCTTTATCCATTTGTAGCTGTAAAAGCTTTGACTCTTCTGTAGCTTGCTTCATTTCCAGCTTTTGCACCTTTTTCTTAACTTTTTTAGTAGTGACGTCCATTTCCTTCATCTTCTCTCCCATTTGCTCTGTTGCTTTTAAGGATTGCGTCAGTGGCATCTGCTGCGCCTGCCATACTCTGCCCAATTACTGACAGTTGTTGTTTAATGCCAGTGATCTCGTCCAGCAGGGGGCGTAGGGAGTCAGCCAAGAGTTTTGAGAGCTCAGTGACCTCATCCATTCGAGGACTGGCCCCTAGTTTCAATTTCAGCAGCTTCTCTTTCTCCGGTTTCTTCCCCGCCATCTTTTTGGGATTTGTTTACTTTTCAAAAAAGTTGCTAAAGTCTCTGATATTCGCCCAAACGCTTTTCTGCGCTCCAGTAAGTCTCTTAAAACAGTTTAGTCGCTTATTTTTCCGCTCCCCCCTCTTTCCTTCCATGTTTCATCTATGCGTTTGGGAGAGATCCCTCCCCCACTCGCTTTCCTGTCGCTCTTTAGGGGGGGCAGCTTCTTTTTATATCTTCATGCTTGCTTCAACCCGACTCACAGTTCGTTGTTGGCGATTCGGCCTCGCTCGTCATAATTTATTTTGCCTGATCTCCAATGCTTGTCCTGGTCAGCAGCACTCCATGCGGTCACTCAGCGGCGGGACCTTCAGGGTGGAGGGGCGCCTCAATTTTCCGGCTTTCGGACATCGAAGAGGTCGCCCCTCAAAAGCGCCCTGGCTGGGAGCCTTTTACCAAGGCTCCAGGGGGGTGTCACGACCCGTCGGACCCCCTCCCACACGCTGGTGTGCAGTTTACATCCCCGGGACATCCGGGAGATGTGTCTGCCTGCATGTTGCCATAAACCGGAAACCTCAGCCATTTTATTTTCAATCCTTTTCCTAATAATGCCTAGCACAGGGGCAGCATTCACACGCACGAGATAATGCGGGGGTGGTGGTGAAGCGAGACTGCTCTGCAGGAATTTGACCCGCATTTGCGCGATCACACAGTCCCTGGGAGCTGCAGGAGCGGCCTGCCACTGCGTGACAAGATGCAACCGCGGATGAGTCAGGGTTTGTTTTTGGCGTCGTGTTTCCGGTGCGCTTCAACGGGGGGATCGATGATTCGTATCTCCGCACCGAGTGCTCCCTATGCAGTGTGCGATGATGTGCATACCAAAACGGGGGGGGGGGGGGACAACGCCATGGAGTCGGGATGGCCCGATCAGACCATCCTGATACCATGGAAGTGAGCTGGAGCAATCACACCGGGGAAAGTCTGTTCCTGGCCCGTAACAAACCCGTTTTCCCCAGTGTCTATTTACTCCGCTTCTGCAGCAGAGCAAAACGGGTTGCCGACGGGAGCGGGACGCTTCCCAGATTTTTGCATCTGATCGTGCCCTTTAAATTCGCCCAGCATTCGTGCCTATGGCGCGGCTAATTCTATGTGGGATCACGCCCAGGGTTTGCCTTTTTCACTGCTGCAGCACTCAAGGTTGACACTTTCATCGAGTTCTCCAGTACAACAACCTCAAGACCTTTTTCCCTCTCGGTCTCAGCAAGTTCTGACCCCACTAGCCTAGACTTGAACTTGAGATTTTTTGAGTTTAGTTTCCCTCTTAGACCGAAAGCAGCTGCTGAAGCAGGAAACGAGGACTGCCACCACACCTAGCGTGGTGAACGAAGGGAGGAGAGCCTGGCCAGTCTCCTTGCAAACTGGGGGCAAAGAGAAAAGCCAAAAACCAATTTCCTGCCACACAGGAACGGGGAGAGGGCTTGACTGAAACACACCTGAAAGCCATTCCACACAACAGCTGACAGAATATAAGCTGAGCCTGTGACCTTTACATGGTTTCCTGTTCTCTGTTGACTCATTTCCCACCAGGCGTTTTCATCACCCCTTCTGCTGCTGTCAAGCCTCCACTGTGTCTGGAAACTCTATCCTCAGCCTTCCATAAGCCATTTTTACATTTTGGGGGTCACCTCTAAGCCTTAAATCCTAGGCACACTTTCCTGGGAGTCAGGCCCACAAGAGGATTTAATTTCTGACTAAACTTGTTTAAGGATGAGCTGCTCAGTGCTTTAAGTGTGCTCACAAAAAGTAAACTGTGAAATAAAATAGATCCAGGTGGGGTAGCCCTGTTGGTCTGAAGCCGCAGAACAAAGTCTGAGTCCACTGGCACCTTTAAGACCAAGTTTTATTCAGGCACAAGCTCTCCCTCCTCTGCAAGGACAGATCTGCACGTCCCCGTCCCCCCAATAGCTAGCAATTCAGAACAGTCCAGTGGAGCCTGAGCGGTGGGTGTTGCCTTCTGACACATTTCCGGTGATGTCAGGGGGTGTGGCACATGCAAATAAGTTATGCTAATGAGTTGTGCTAATGAGCTCCTGCACCTCTTTTCCTACAAAATGACCCCTGGGTATCTGAATGTGGTTTTGAGCTGCACCTTTCCCCTCCCAGTTGAGAAAATGTGGAGCGAAGGCCAGATGCAGAATCGCCCATGGTAACACCTCAGCCCATGGGTTGAATCAGGTGCCATCTTGTCACCAGCCAGGTCACCCAGGAAACAGGATAGCCAGCTACCAACTGCAACTCACCCAGTTCGGGGTTTTTCCTGTCCTGCGTATGCCGGTTGTGTTTATTCTGCAAAGAGAACACAGGGAATCTGGTTTGGGTAAGAGGCATATAGCATGTAGACGCAACCTTCAGCCCCAGGTTCCAGGATGTTACACCACATGAAATGCGCCTTTGCATATTTCACCGACATAACATGGGCAGCTATGAGCAGGGGTCATTTCCTGCAGGAGCGCACAGGAGTGGAGCTCCGGCAGTAAAGACCCCTGGCTATGAGGCTTAAAACCCGATGGGTAACTGTGGCCCCTGAGCCCACCCCCCACGACCATGGGGTATGATGTCACATGCAAAGAGCGGAGTTTCGTGTGACATGTAGCTCCACAGGACTTTCTGGCTTCTGCAGAGTGGGTTTCCATGGAAAGACCACAAAGAGGAGGGGGAGAGGGGCTTTTTAACTCCTCCCCCCCTTGCTATTCCCCCCTCCCCATGAAAAACATAGTCACCTAGGGGTGCCAGCCTCCAGGTGGGGCCTGGGGACCCCCCGGAATTCCAGCTCATCTCCAGACTACGGAGATCAGTTCCCCCGGAGGAAATGGCTGCTTTGGTGGGGGGGGGGGGTTGTGGCCTTGTGCCCCACTGAGGTTCAGGGGTGCCAGCCTCTAGGTGGGGCCTGGGTGGGGACCTCCTGGAATTCCGGCTCATCTCCAGACTGCAGGAACAGTAGCTAGGGGACAAGGCCATGGGCATATTCCCTAAACTTCTCTCCCCACCCCCCAAAGTGTGAGAAGCGGGGCAGAGTAAGTAGCCCATGGGGAAGCAGCCTCTCTCTTGCAAAACAAACAAACAAACCCCATTATCCTTAACTGGCAAAACGGTGCGGGGAAACAAGTTTGCCAGTCTGGAGATTCCGGGGGGATCTCTGTAGTCTGGAGATGAGCTGGAATTCCGGAGGGTCCCCCCGGAGTCCCCCCGGAATCTCCAGACTACAGAGATCAGTCTCCCCTGGAGGAAACGGCTGCTTTGGAGGGGGGACTCTGTGGCCTTGTGCCCCACTGAGGTCCAGGGGTGCCAGCCTCCAGGTGGGGCCTGGGGACCCCCCGGAATTCCAGCTCATCTCCAGACTACAGAGATCAGTTCCCCTGGAGGAACAGTAGCTAGGGGACAAGGCCATGGGCATATTCCCTAAGCTTCTCTCCCCACCCCCCAAAGTGTGAGAAGCGGGGCAGAGTAAGTAGCCCATGGGGAAGCAGCCTCTCTCTTGCAAAACAAACAAACAAACCCCATTATCCTTAACTGGCAAAACGGTGCGGGGAAACAAGTTTGTCAGGCCAAGGTTGTTGCTCCATGCTTCTTTCACTGTCCAGCTCAACGCCATTAACGGCATTTTAACCTTCTTTGAAAAAGGAAGATTGACATTCTGCTTTTGTTTACCTTTTTTGTGGACCCGGATTCTGCAATAAAGAGAAAAGAAGGGAAGGTTTCAGTCACCACAGGTGGAGAGAGGAGGTGGGGGTTCCTACAGAACAGGGAACCGCTGGGCCTTTTGCAGGGAAACAGGTCTGGCTCTCACAGTCACATGAAGACACGGAGCTGCCTTCTGCTGACCCCAACCCTCGGTCCATTCAGTATTGTCTTCCCAGACTGGCAGCCGTTCTCCAGGGTCTGAGGCACATCCCCTACTGCCTCTGGGGTCTTTCGCATCACCTCCTGCCCGGTCCTTTCAACTGGAGATGCCGGGGATTGAACTGGGGACCTTTTCCATGCCAAGCAGAGGCTCTTCCACTGAGCCAAGGCCCCTCTTTACCACTCTCCAGGGTCTCAGGCGGAGGTCTTTCCCGTCACCTCCTGCCTGGTCCTTTCAACTGGAGATGCCGGGGATCGAACCTGGGACCTTCTGCATGCCAAGCAGAGGCTCTGCCACTGAGCCACAGCCCCTCTTTGCAGCTCTCCAGGGTCTCAGGCGGAGGTCTTTCCCGTCACCTCCTGCCTGGTCATTTTAACTGGAGATGCCGGGGATCGAACCGGGGACCTGCTGCATGCCAAGCAGAGGCTCTGCCACTGAGCCACAGCCCCTCTTTACAGCTCTCCAGGGTCTCAGGCGGAGGTCTTTCCCGTCACCTCCTGCCTGGTCCTTTCAACTGGAGATGCCGGGGATCGAACCGGGGACCTTCTGCATGCCAAGCAGAGGCTCTGCCACTGAGCCACAGCCCCTCTTTACAGCTCTCCAGGGTCTCAGGCGAAGGTCGTTCCCGTCACCTGCTGCCTGATCCTTTTAAACTGGAGATGCCGGGGATTGAACCTGGGACCTTCTGCAGTGCAAGCAGAGGCTCTGCCACTGAGCCACGCCCATGGCCCCTCCCAAACACATATGAATCTGCCTTCTATTGAATCAGACCCTCGGTCTATCAAGGTCAGTCTTGTCTACCCAGAATGGCAGAAATTCTTCAGCGTCTCAGGCGGAGGTCTTTCCCGTCCCCTCCTCCCTGGTCCTTTTAACTGGAGATGCCAGGGGTTGAACCCGGGGCCTTCTGCACGCCAAGCACAGGCTCTGCCACTGAGCCACAAGAGTTGCGTCCATAGTAGTTGTTATGAATTGATGTGTGCGTGTAGGCAGGATTTGGCCATCGTTAGCCAGCCTCATCACACTCTGGCCTCATCCCTTTCCCCCTCCTGGGCTAAAACCCTTCGGGATGGCCTTCCAGGATCCAGTGAGTGTTGACCTTGAGAGGGCATTCATACGTTCACAGCTAAAATACCTCCAAACCTCAGCTTTCCCTGCATCCCCATGAATGCCGGGCCCCTCTTCTCCAGCTCCCAGACTGCTCCAAAGTGCTGGAAATTTGTGAGTTGCAAGGTCTAAGATTCAGTCATTAGAGGGTTAATCTGTTCGCCTTGTGGACTATTGTTTAGCCTGAGCTGGAAGGAAACCTGGCACAGAGTCAATGGAAAGATAGCCTGGGAAACTGAAGTCTGTTTAGTAACATTGATTGGTTAATGTAATCAGGTGATTTCCTTCTAGGGGTCAAGAAGAAGAAGAATCTCCATTGTTGTAGACCATGTGGGTCAGTCAGTAAAAGCGTAAAGATGTAGCCTTAGGTGTCTATGTTATTTTTGTAGATTTCCCTGTGAACCCTTCCCTTAGAAACAAAGGTTTTGACATAGAAAGAAATGCCTCCTCTCCAGTGAAGCAAAGATCCATTGTAAACCCTGAATATCTAAATAATTTTGCCTGTTTTTCCAACCTATTCTGGTAGCAGAGGGCGGTTAACTAATTTTGCCTGATATAAGTTTTAAATGCTTCACCGGAGTGAGAGAGAGAGGCTAGGAGTTAATAGCAGCTGAGAGGCTTGGATTTTAAAACAACCACTTTTTTCCTGCACAAAGGGAACCCGGCTGCTGGGAGATGTGCTGCAGACAGTCGGATCGGAGCCCCGATCCTCCCCACCCCTCCGGGAGACACCTCTGCCACACCTGGATGCTGAGGTCACCCACCTGAGCTGGCTTTCCCACAGGACGATACCCGACCGAGACATTCCTTGTGTGCCGCCAACCGACATCTGCCGCAGCGATAGCCCTGGTAGAAGGTGCCCCTGCAGGTGGGTGGAGAGAGACAAGAGAGGCTCACGAGCTTTGTTCTTCGGGATATAGAATCATAGAATATTAAGAGTTGGGAGGGACCTTGCAGGTCATCTAGTCCAACCCCCTGCACTCTGCCGGAGCACAGCCGAAAGATAGCCCTACAACACACCCGAAAGACGGTTGTCCAGCCTCCGCTTGAAAACGTCCAGCGAAGGAGCATCCACCACCTCCCAAGGCAGACTGTTCCACTGCTCAACCACTCTTACCGTTAGGAAATTTCTCCTGTAATTTCCACCCATTAGATCTAGTCTTGCCGTCTGGAGCAAGAGAGAATAGATCTGCTCCTTCTACTACATGACAGCCCTTCAGATACTTGAAGACTGCAATCGTGTCCCCTCTAAGCCTTCTCTTTCCCAGGCTAAACAGACCCAACTCTTTCAGCCTTCCCTTGTAAGACTTGGATTCTGAAAAGTATGCATACGGAGAGTGATTTCAGCTAAGCATACCTTTATTTAGTCAGGAACAAGACGCCTTGGCCGGCTCGCAGGCTGGCTTATATTCCTTCAGAAACCCACCACCAGAACACACACCCCACTCCCGATAGGCTATTTACAGTAACCAAGAGACCTATTGGCCTCATGGCTTGGGACCTAGCCCTTTCATTGGGCCTGGCTAGGATCCTACTGGCCCATTGTCTTTCGGCATGAAGCTTGAGGTTTTGGGTCTTTGGACAAGCCCGGGCACAACAGATTCCAACCCTCTCACCATCCTGGTTGCCCTCTTCTGGACACGCTCGAGCTTGTCAACATCCTTCCTAAAACATGGTGCCCAAAACTGGACACAGGACTCCAGGTGGGGCCTGACTATAGCAAAATAGAGCGGAACTACCACCTCCTGTGATCTGGACACAAGGCTTCTGTCAATGCATCCTAAGATTGCACTCGCTTTCTTCGCAGCCACATCACACTGCAGGCTCATGTTTAGCTTGTGATCAACCAGAACACCCAGATCCCTTTCACGGGTGCTGCTGTCAAGCCAAGTCCTTCCCATTCTATATCTGTGCCTTTGATTCTTTGTACCTAAGTGTAGGACTTTGCACTTCTCTCTATTGACCAGATAAACCAGAGCCACACTTAACAGCCTCACCGAAGATGCTGCTGCACTCTGCGGCTGAACTGATGCTGTTCCAAGCGACATTTGGCATCCTATAAACCTCTGTGGTCAAAGCCCAGTATTACACATTGACCAAGGAGCTTTCCAAAGTATTTGTTGATTTCCTTCCTTTATAACCGGCCTTTCTCCCCAGTGGGACCCAAAGCAGCTTAGGTGACTAAAAGGCAGCATTCGCTGCCCGAGGATGAAGTGATGGCCACAGGAATAAACAGCTTGAAAACTGGTGGGAGAGATTCATGGAGGAGAGGCCTACCAGCGGCTCCTAGCCGTGGTGACTGAGGGGAACCTCCACATTCAGAGGCACTAATCCTCTGAATCCGAGAGCCAGGAGGCAACATCAGGGGAAGGCCTCGGCCTCTCTGCCCTGTTGCTGGCCCTCCAGAGGAACTGGTTGGTTGGCCGTTGTGTGATGGACCACTGGTCTGGCCCAGCAGGGCTCTTCTGAGGTTCTTCTCAGGAGAAGGCCTCGGCCTCTCTGCCCTGTTGCTGGCCCTTCAGAGGAACTGGCTGGCCCCTGTGTGAGACGGGAGGCTGGACTAGAGGGACCCTCCCCGGTCTGGCCCAGCAGGGCTCTTCTGATGCTCTGATCAGGGGAAGGCCTTGGCCTCCATGCCCTGTTGCTGGCCGTCCAGAGGGACTGGCTGGCCCCTGTGTGAGACGGGAGGCTGGACTGGAGGGCCCCTCCCTGGCCTGACCCAGCAGGGCTCTTCTGGTGTCCTTATCAGGGAAAGGCCTCGGCCTCTCTGCCCTGTTGCTGGCCCTCCAGAGGGACTGGCTGGCCCCTGTGTGAGATGGGAGGCTGGACTAGAGAGACTCTCCCTGGTCTGACCCAGCAGGGCTCTTCGGATGCTCTTACATTCTTCCGTCATTCTCCTCTCATCCATTTTATCCTCACAACAACCCTGCGAGTGGACTGGAGATGTGTGGCATACATACCTCAGCAGCATCTGACAAGCTTTGCAAGTGGTGGTCTCTTCAAAGGAGTGCATATGGAAATCATGTCCATTGGCGGTGGCATTTTCAGGGTAGATGTTTGAGCTGGACCAAGGAGTGAGAAGAGACAGTCAGCCAGATACAGGGAGTATGACTGGAAGGCCTGACGTTTCCACCTGCCCAGACGTACCGCTCTCCTTTCCCCAATGGACAGATTGTGGGAGACCCTTAACATCAAACCCACATTCATGATTCCCCCCCAGCTTCTCCGTAAAAAAGTCCCTTGCCCCTCCATGCGGTTTTTCCCCACGCTTCATCTTCAGAATCCCACAAAAATTGTCCACACTATAATTCATTCTGACATCAACTATCAAGGGGTCCCTAACATTTTTCACCTTTTCAACACATTTGGAATTCTGACACAGGATCGTAGGATGGGAGGTGCCATACCAGAGGGCCAGTTTGGTGTCGTGGTTAAGTGCGCGGACTCTAATCTGGGAGAGCCGGGTTTGATTCCCCACTCCTCCACTTGCACCTGGCTGGATGACCTTGGGTCAGTCACAAGCTCTGGCACAGCTGTCCTTGAAAAAGAGCAGTTTCTGTCAAGAGCTCTCTCAGCCTCGCCTGCCTCACAGGGTGTCTGTTGTGGGGAGGGGAAGGGAAAGGAGTTTGTAAGCCGCTCTGAGACTCCTTTGGGTAGTGAAGGGCCATGGGGTATAAATCCAATCTCTTCTTCTTCTTCTTTTACCTCACAGGGTGTCTGTTGTGGGGAGGGGAAGGGAAAGGAGTTTGTCAGCCGCTCTGAGACACCTTTGGGTAGTGAAGGGCGGGGCATAAATCCAATCTCTTCTTCTTGTTGTTTTTTTAAAAAATCAGGAACTGACAGATCACTATAGTGCAATAATAGTATGACGATCTAGTGCCATGATCTACCAGTTTCCAGATTTTATTATTTTAATGGAAGTCTCTTGCCCTTTTCATTGCATAGTTGTAGGAGGAATGGTGCAGCTCTAGTCAAGGAAACAGGAGGAAGCAGGGATGGAGGAATGCTGGGAGCTGGCCAAGAGACAGAATGGCTAAAGTAAGTTGGACAAAGTAGATACTGGGCTGAAAAGAAAGAACTTGAGGACATAATGCGTTGTAGAAGTTGCTTCCACACTAGCTGTTTTATTTGAAATTCCCTCAGTTTGTCTATTAAAGGGAATCCAAACTATTGTATCAGTATTTGGTAGTCTAGTGTTTTCCATGTTATCCTCTCATCTCTTTTTCAGACCTGGTTTGCGGTGACATTTCTGTCTTTGAAAAGAATTACAGCACCAAACTGCCCAGTGCAGACTGGGAAAATTCTACTGATGTACTTGGCAGGATGGATATTCCGTCTGGGAATGCCTTTCCCTGGCCGAATTGCCACTTTTAATGAGACCTGCAAGGTGGCACATTCTCCACGATTTTTAAAAAGCCATGACAGCAGAGGAAATACGACCAGGGGTGCTCAGGGCCCACAAGCCCCACACTGGGGACCCCGGTCTGCCTCCAGAGCGTGTGCCAGCTGTGGCATTACTCAACCATCAAGGAGATATTCTACTGACTGGAATATTTGGTATCTGCCCAGGACGAGTTTCCAAGGGTTGGGCTTGTAAGGGTGAGCAGGGCGGGTACCCAAAAGGCTGAGTATAACAAACTTAAAAATATAAATTCAACCTATAGAAATTGCACGTCAGCTGAACATGAATCACATAAACACACGAAGATGACGGATTCTTGGCCAGAGGCAGAAAAATTTGAGAGAGACACTGCCCTCTTTGGTGTGGTGGTTAAGTGTGTGGCCAGTTTGGTGCAGTGGCTAAGTGCGCGGACTCTAATCTGGGAGAACCAGGTTTGATTCCCCACTCCTCCGCTTGCACCTGGCTGGATGACCTTAGGCAAGCCGTGGTTCTGGCAAGAGCTGTTCTTGAAAAAGAGCAGTTTTGGTCAGAGCTCTCTCAGCCCCACCTACCTCACAGGGTGTCTGTTGTGGGGAGGGGAAGGGAAAGGAGTTTGTCAGCCGCTCTGAGACTCATTCGGGTAGTGAAGGGTGGAGTATAAACCCAATATCTTCTTCTTCCACATGCAGTGTGACCTTGGGTCAGTCACAAGTTCTCTCAGAGCTGTTCTCTAAAGGGCAGTTTCTGTCAGAGCTCTTTCAGCCACCCACCTGCCTCACAGGGTGTCTGTTGTGGGGAGGGGAAGGGAAAGGAGTTTGTGAGCCGCTCTGAGACACCTTTGGGTAGTGAAGGGCGGGGCATAAACCCAAATCTCCTCCTCCTCCTCTTCTTCTCCTCCTCCTCCTCTTCCTCCTCCGCTTTGTGGGTCGGCTCAGAATTATATACAGGCCTGATTTTCACGTGGAGCCTACCCTCATATTGAAATACTACATACCTGCCTGGCCTTTAATGTTCACAACTTGTTCTAAATGTGTGCTATTTGGTTTTAGGCCACTGAAGAAGCCTCTCAGAGCTGAAATGCGTCTGGCCTAGTGGCTTTTTATGAGGTCTTCCATTAGGTGATTCATGTTCAGTTGACGTCCAATTTCTGTAGGTTGGATTTTAGCACTCCTTGGCATAGTTCCCTCTAAGCTGCGTTAGTGTGAGCTAGCTCACAGTTTTTCAGCCTCCGCCTCACAGAGTTTTGCCTCCGCTCAGGAAGGGATGGCTCCAGAGCAAACTAATTTGTGCAGCAGCCAAATCGCTCGCTCACAACTTCAATGCCGGCAGCTCACAAAGTAGAATCTTTGCTCATAAGACTCCACAGCTTAGAGGGGAGCATTGTTCCTAGGTATCTACCTAGTTTTTAAGGGTCAATTGTTACACTGTGTAATAAATACTTGGTTATATTTTTTAAAGTTTGTTATACTCAAGTCTTTTGAGTGCCCACCCTGTTGCCACGGTGCGGTTTCGTCCCCCCTTAGTTTTTTCTTCATCAGGGTGAGAGCATACGGAGGGGGCACGAGAGACCTACAGGGCCATCTCGAATTGTTCCAGCCACTTCTTCTTCAGCTCCCGTGTCTTGAAGTACAGCTCGTAGCCCGAGGGACCGTAAGTATCGACCAGAACAAACATATGAGTCCACTGTCAAGAAATAAGAGGGAATAACCAATTAGGATCTGCACTCGGTGCCGTTCATTCTTTCCCAGTTCTGTCTTCAGTCTTAGAAAAACAGACTGCAGGAAGGGTAAGGACAATAGGAACTCTCGGTCTGGGGCGAGTGATGCACTCTATTCTAGGTGCTTGGGGGGTGGGGGCAACAGTGGGGGGGGGCTTCTAGTGCCCTGGCCTCATTGGTGGACCTCCTGAGGGCACCTGGTATTTCTGGCCACTCTTGTGACATAGAGTGTTGGACTGGATGGGCCCTTGGCCTGATCCAACCTTGGCTTCTCTGATGCTCTTATGTCTGGGGCAAGGGATGCTCTGTATTCTTGGTGCTTGGGGGGGGGGCAACAGTGGGAGGGCTTCTAGTGTCCTGGCCCCACTGCTGGTCCTCCTGATGGCACCTGGTATTTTTGGCCACTCTTGTGACACAGAGTGTTGGACTAGATGGGCCCTTGGCCTGATCCAGCACTGGCTTCTCTTATGTTCTTATAAGAGGGAATCGGATAAGCATATGGAGCAGAGGTCCATCAGTGGCTATTAGCCACAAGGGATAGATAGGAACTCTCGGTCTGGGGCAAGGGATGCCCTGTATTCTTGGTGCCTGGGGGGGGGGCAACAGTGGGAGGGCTTCTGGAGTCCCGGCCCCACTGGTGGACCTCCTGGTGGCACCTGGTATTTCTGGCCACTGTGTGACACAGAGTGTTGGACTGGATGGGCCACGGGCCTGATCCAACATTGGCTCCTCTTATCGTCTTATGTTCTTATGTAAGACACCTGCAGAATAGGGTTGTGAACCTCCAGGTGTTGGCTGGAGATCTCCTGGGATTAAAACAGAGAGCCAGTTTGGTGTCGTGGTGAAGTGCGCGGACTGTAATCTGGGAGAACTGGGTTTGATTCCCCACTCCCCCAAAGGTACCTACTGGTGTGACCTTGGGTCAGTCACAAGTTATCTCGGAGCTGTTCTCTCAGGAGCAGTCCTCAAAAGAGCTCTCTCACCCCCGCCTACCTCACAGGGTGTCTGTTGTGGGGAGGGGAAGGGAATGGAGTTTGTCAGCCACTCTGAGACTCCTTTGGGTAGTGAAGGGAGGGGCATAAATCCAATCTCCTCCTCCTCCTCCTCCTCCTCCTCCTCC